GGTCCTTGCAGTTCACCCAAAGACAGCTTCTGGGAATGGGGCACGGAAATGGGAGGCCAGGGTGCAGCAAAGGCTTCCTGGAGCAGGTGACCCTACGGGAGAGTAGCCTATAATAGACACTCATTAAATGTTAGTAAAACAAATGGAGTTAGTAGATGAAGAAATGGGGGAAGAGCATTCCAGACAGAGATAATACAGGGCCACCTGGCAGGGTCAAGAAGACTTGTAGCCCCTTGGCATACTAAAGTGGGCAGTGGTAGCGGTCTGTCCACATGCAGGCTAGAAGGGGTGCATATCTATAAAGGACTTAATAATAGATCCAACTAAAAGTTGGTCTGCCTTTTATCATTGCTGTGCACCAGTGATTTTAAATAATGTCTGTTGAAATACTCCTCTTCAAAGGCTGGGAACGGTGGTTCACGCCTATAATCCCAGCACTTTGGGAGGCTGAGGCTGGTGGATCACCTGAGGTCGGGAGTTTGACACCAGCCTGGCCAACATGGTGAAACCCCGTCTCTACTGAAAAAATACAAAAGTTAGCCAGGCATGGTGGCATGAGCCTGTAATCCCAGCTACTTGGGAGCCTGAGGCATGAGAATCTTGAATCCAGGAGGCAGAGGTTGCAGTGAGTTAAGATCACACCACTGCACTCCAGCCTGGGCGACACAGTGAAACTCTGTCTCAGAAAAAGAAAAAAAGAAATACTCCTCTCAGAAAAAATCTTCTGTTGGTTTCAGTTCTAAATAATTGTTGCAGATACTGGATTTTATTTGTACATGTAAACTTCACACTAACATATTTTCATTAACAATCCTTTCTAAAATTTTTATTTATTTATTTATTTATTTTGCATTCTTAGTCTTTGCAGTGATCCTTTAATAAACATTGTATTCTATGTGGAAGTTCATTTGGAGAATGCTAAGTTATATGGTCACACTAACACCCACATTTGGAGCCCACTTTAGGCAAGGGTCACATGTTCAACCCTGTGGTATTAGATACATCCAAGTTTACACAGTAGATTCAAAATAAACAATCATGAGTAACTGTCAATGATGATAAGGACAGACAGGGCTTGACTTTTTTCAGTTCTGTCATTCTATGTAACCAATTAGACTTCTGTGTTAAAACAGTGGAACAGAGAGTGCAAACTGAGAGGCAAACCGTTTTTGTTATATGAAAATTTTTAGTTGGTATATGAAATATTTTACTGAATTTGAATAAAAATTTACCTTTGAAACGAAAACCTATTCCTTTAAATTTGTGAATGGTTTTAAAGTGAAAGATGAATAAGGGAAATAAATGTTATAGCCTAAGTATTATCACCTTAATTGTACTTTTGTACATGTTTTGGTTTCATTTATTTATTTTTTGGGGGGACAGAGTTGCCCTCTTGTTGCCCAGGCTGGAGTGCAATGGCGTGATCTCAGCTCACTGCAACCTCCGCCTCCTGGGTTCAAGCGATTCTCCTGCCTCAGCCTCCTGAGTAGCTGGGTTTACAGGCATGCATCACCACACCTGGCGAATTTTGTATTTTTTTTAGTAGAGACCAGGTTTCTCCATGTTAGTCAGGCTGGTCTCAAACTCCCGACCTTGGGTAATCCACCTGTCCTGGCCTCCCAAAGTGCTGGGATTACAGAAATGAGCCACTATGCCAGGACTATGTTTTGGTTTCATTAAAATTTAATTGTTGGTTGCTGGACGATCATTTACATAAGGGAGTGTATCAGACTGTAAGGAAAGGATCAAAATTTAAACAGGTAGATGTGAAAATGATTGAAATAAATAGTTGTGCATTTTTCATTTTTTGGAACCATACTATTAATTTTATATATTTATTTTATGATGTGAGTATATATACAAAGTTTTGGCAAATAACATTTTCACTTTTACCTTTCCGTTTTCTGGCCATTATTATAATTCGTTTTAGTTTATGATCATTTGAAAATATAAAATTTGAATTATGGAAATAATTTTATCTTTAGAGGAGGGGGTATGAAAAATGATCTGTTCTGTGTGTCAAATATAATGCATTCCACAAATACTTCCTAAATGCCAAGTTGGGAGAAACACTAGGTATGTGGGAACTGAAAGAGACTTCAAATGGGAGTCGGAGATGGCCCCAGGAGGAGGTGAAACTGGAGTTGCCAGCTAAGCAGGTGTCAGCCATAGAATCATTAGCCAGTGTTTCTCAAGGGCCTGCTCTCAGCCCCACTCCATGCTAGTAGCTGGGGACCCTAAGACACCATAAGACCCTTCTTACCCCACTGGTTATAATAGAGCCAATGTCCCTGCTCTCACCAATGGCGCACTTGTCTATCAGTACTCCAGATCCTGTCCTTCCTTGATTCATCAATGACTTTGCTCTTATAATTGAGCCCTCTCTTTCTGTATCAGTTTCTCCTTTGGAGAAGCCTCATGGGCCTATCATAGGCCCTCCCTGAACTGCCGTGTCATTTTCCTGCTCTCATTCATAGAAAAACTTCTTTGAGTTGTTTGGAGACAGTGTCCCACTCCATCAACTCCGGTTCCCTTTGCAGCATGCTCCAATCCGGCTTCCATCCTACTGCACATGGTTTTGCCTAAGTCATCAGCGACCTCTGTCTTGCCAAATCCAGTAGTCACTTACCTGTTTATCTCAACTTGTCAGTCTCTTTGGAGGACTTTGCTGTTCCCCTGGGCCTTAAGTGTAGGAGTCCCCAGGCTCTGTCTTCTGCCCTGTCTTCAAACTACCTCTGGAGTTGATAGCATCCGCTCTAATGGCCTTATAACTACCATCTCTATACTGACAACGCCCAAGTTTACATGTACAGCCCTGACCTTCTCTAAGAATAATTAATAGACATCTCAAAATCGATGTCAAAAATGGAAGTCTTGTTTCAGCCACCTCCAAATCTGCTCCTTTTCCTATCTTTCCATATACCAAGCGCCACAATCATCACACAGTTGCTCAAGCCAATAATCTAGGAGCCTCTTTGATTCCTCTTTTTCTCCCTCCCTACCCACTTCTGGTCCCTTACAAGTCCTGGTTTTCATTCTTTTTTTTAAGAAAAGGGGTCTCACTATGTTGCCAAGGCTGCAGTGCACTGGCTCTTCACAGGTGCAGTGATACCGTTACTGTTCAGCACAGGAGTTTGGACCTGCTCCGTTTCTGACCTGGGCCAGTTCATCCCTCTTTAGGCAACCTGCTGGCGCCCCACTCCTGGGAGTTCACCATACTGATGCTGAACTTAGTGTGAATGCCCAATCAGCACAGCACACTACAACCTGGAACTCCTGGGCTCAAGTGCTCTCCTGCCTCAGCCTCCTGAGTAGCTGGGACTACAGGTGGTGGGCACCACCTCCATGACAAACACTGACATCCCTTTCTTAGACAGCTCCTTTAGATTTCTTTCTTTCTTTTTTCTTTTTTTGAGGCGAAGTCTCGCTCTGTGGCCCAGGCTGGAGCGCAATGGCACGCTCTCGGCTTGCCACAACCTCTGCCTCCCAGGTTCAAGCGATTCTTCTGCCTCAGCCTCCTGAGTTAGCTGGGATTACAGGCGTGTGGCACCATGCCCTAATTTTTGTATTTTTAGTAGAGATGGGGTTTCACCATGTTGGGCAGGCTGGTCTCGAACTCCTGACCTCATGATCCGCCTGCCTTGGCCTCCCAAAATGCTGAGATTACAGGCGTGAGCCACCGTGCCCAGGCTGCTCCTTTAGATTTCTAACTGCTGTCTCTGCATCCCTCTTGCCCTTTATAAGTGATAAGGAGCCAAATGGTTTATTTTAAAAAACATGTATCAGATCATACCAATTTCCTGTTTAACATCCATCAGTGCTTAGAATCCATCACACTTAGAATAAAATCCAAACCCCTTTCTATGGACTTCAAGGCCCTATCCCTCTGTCCTCGTGTCACTGCCCTTGTGGTATCACTGTGGTCGCCCTGCCTTCAATTTCCTTCTAGCACTATCCGGCTCTTTCTTGCCTTAGAGCCTTTGGACCTTCCTCTGGCTGGCTCCTTTCAGGCATGTAGCTTTGAGCCCACATTTCTCTGTTTCGGTTTTCCATAGCACTCACCACCATCTAAAATTATAATAGTTATGAACTTTATTACTCATTTCTTGTCTGCCCACATAAGATGGAGATTGACAGCAAGGACTTTGTTCTTCCTGTTTACGATTTTACCCCTAATTCAGAGGTCAGTGCCCAACACATACTGGGCACTCAGTAAACACTGTGGAATAAATAGGTTGTGCCATGAAGCTCCCAGTCTTCAGTTTTTTTTCATTTTTTTAATTTTTTTGAGACGGAGTTTCGCTCTTGTTACCCAGGCTGGAGTGCAATGGCAGATCTCGGCTCATTGCAACCTCCGCCTCCTGGGTTCAAGCAATTCTCCTGCCTCAGCCTCCCGAGTAGCTGAGACTACAGGCGCGTGCCACCATGCCCAGCTGATTTTTTGTATTTTTAGTAGAGACGGGGTTTCACCATGTTAACCAGGATGGTCTCGATCTCTTGACTGCGTGATCCACCGCCTCGGCCTCCCAAAGTGCTGGGATTACAGGCGTGAGCCACCACGCCCAGCCTCCAGTCTTCAGTTTTTGTACAGACAAGGCACAGAGGTGCCCGGCCTGTAGCAGAAAAGCTCCAGCCCTCCCAAAGTTTATGGCAAGATCCCGACCTGGTAGAGTGCTGGCGGAGGCTCTTCTCTCGGCAGAAGGCCCTACACCTGGCCTTGCCTCTCTCTCCAGCCTCCTCCTGGCTGGAGTCTGAGACCTGCGCCTCCCCAGCCTCCACTTGGGTGAAACGGTAGCTCAGACTGAAGGACGGAATGGGTCGGTTGGGTGGGCGGACAAAAGTCCTTTAAGAAGCGGTCAAGGCCTACGGTGGCTGTCAGTGACGCTGCCTTGGTTGGGGCTTGCTGAGGGCCAGTGGGCGGCCTGGGGCAGGGCGGGGTCGGCGCAGGGAGGGATGGGTGGGGTTGACTCCGCCCCCTGGCGCAGCTGTAAATAGGTAAATAGAAGGTGATTGTGGCGTGGTGATGTCGCGATACCCGCTTGAGACGCCGTGGTGGCAGGTTCCCCGTCTGTTCAGCAGAGAGCATAGGCCCCACCAAGTCTTCATGTACAGCCGCGCGCAGGCTGAGATGGAGCAGGAGGCTCGGGAGCTGAGCCGGTGGCAGGCGGCGCACGAGGCCGCCCAGGTGAGTCAGGTGTCGGCCCCTGGCAGGCCGGGGAGGGTCGGCGGGGCGGGGAGGCCGTGGAGGAGAAGGGAGGCCAGGGAAGCAGAAACCCGAGGGGAGGGGTTGCAAAGGGAAGGGTAGAAAGGGAGGGTTGGAAGATTGAGGTGTAAATCATACGTCGTTTATTCCAATAATGTTCGCCCAGCTGTAGAGCTCGTGTTGGGCGCGTGGAGGGTAAGAAGGTCCAGGCAACTTTCTGGCGAGGGACGTGAGGAACAGCAAAGATCAGGTGAGGAAGTGAGCAGAAAACGACCAGGAAAAAGAACCAAAAACGTTAATTGGAGCCCTACTAAGTGGAAGGCTTTTGCTGGACCCTTGGAATATGATGATGAATTTACCATGAAACAGATATATATAAAATTTTATTAATAAATCATTAGCTGCTGCCAGGCGCTCACTCCTGTAATCCCAGCACTTTGGGAGGCCGAGGCGGGTGGATCACTTGAGGTTGGGAGTTCAAGACCAGCCTGGCAAACAAGGTGAAACCCCGTCTCTGAAAAATATAAATAAATAAATTGGAAATGTACAGCATACAAGGAGAAGTCGTGGATGCATGGGAACAGATACCAGAGGTGTTTGACCTGATTTGGGAGCTTAGGAGACAGCTGAGAATCTGGTCTGGGACTAGAGAACAGAACTGGTCAAGTGAAGGTTTTCCAGGTCTGAGACCAGAGGCTGTCTGCTTCCTCTTAGGAGGAACTAAAATACCAGTGTCTAGACAGTGATGGGGGAAGGGGTGGGGAGGTGGGGGAGCACCCAGAGACACCATAAGGGTCATTCAGGGCTTGCTTATTCCAAGAGCAATAGGAAGCCATTGATGAGTTTAAACATGATCTGGCTCGATTAGATTTGCATTTTCAAAGGAGTGCCCTGGTGGATGTGGGCTGGATTCAAGGGCAATAGTTAGAAAGCTTTTGTGATAATCCAGGTTTCTCTAAAATTAATTAAATTAAAAATAAAACAAGATCTTCCCAACTCTTCTAGGGTTTTTTTTTTTTTTAAAAAGAACCTTTCATCTATAGCAAAAACCACATAATCAAACCTATCAAAATTACATATATTTTTTATTATTTAATATATTAATAATTAACATATTACTTTAATATATCATATATTATATATAGAGAGCCAGGGTCTTGGCTCTTGTGAGGCTGGGGTGCAGTGGTGTGATCTGGGCTCACTGCAACCTGTACTTCCCAGGATCAAGCGATTCTCATGCCTCAGCCTCCCAAGTATCTGGGATTACAGGTGTGTGCCACTCCGCCCAGTTAATTTTTTGTATTTTTAGTAGAGTTGTTTTGCTATGTTTGTCAGGCTGGTCTCTAGCTTCTGCCCTCTGGTGATCCACCCGCCTCAGCCTCTCAAAGTACTGGGATTACAGGCATGAGCTGCCTCGCCCAGCTGATAAATCCTTTAAATCCTAGCTATTCCTAAATGTACTTTGTAGCTGGATTGTCCAAACCAGAATTTAAGACCACACACTGCATCTGGTGATTATGTCCCTTGAGTCTCTGAAGTTAGAAGAATAGTTTTATTTTTTCATGATTGGGATTTGGTTTTTCATGATGCTAACTTTTGTGTTACAGGATGTTCCTTTTGGAGATACCAGATTGCTTCCTCATGATATAATTTAGCTTTATCTTCTGTCACTGGTATTACCTTTAGTTAGGATTAGATCTTACAGTTTAATTGGATTCAAGATTTTTGGCAAGAGTGCCTCATGTGTACGGTAGGCTCCATCTTGTATTACATCAGGAGACACATCTGGCTACCCGAATTTGGTGATACTTGTATTAAGGTAGTGAAAAGCCTAATTCAGCTCTCTATTAAAGTTGACCCTTAGGTCAGAAAGTAATCTGTGTGATTCTGCCTTGTATGTATCCAATGTCCAGTACTCTACCAGCTATTCGTCTAATTTTTTTTTTTTTTTTTTTGGACACAGAATCTTGCTGTTGCCAGGCTGGAGTGCAGTGGTGCAATCTCAGCTTACTGCAACCTCTGCCTCCTGGGTTCAAGCAATTCCTCTGCCTCAGCCTCCTGAGTAGCTGGGACTATAGGCATGCACCATCTATCATGCCTGGATAATATTTTGTATTTTAGTAGAGAGACGGGGTTTCACCATGTTGGCCAGAATGATCTTGATCTCCTAACCTCATGATTCATCAGCCTTGGCCTCCCAAAGTGCTGGGATTACAGACATGAGCCACCATGACTGGCCAGGGTTACCTACTGGCTTTAACACCAAGTTAAAATTTTTCCTCAATTAAATTTCTTTAGGGGTTGCAAAATAAATTTTATTTTCCTTTTTTTTTTTTTTTTTTTGAGACGGTTCTATTCTGTCCCCAGGCTGGAGTGCAGTAGTGTGATCTCAGCTCACTGCAACCTCTGCCTCCCATGTTCAAGCAATTCTCATGCCTCAGCCTCCTCAGTAGCTGGGATTAAAGGCGAGAGCCATTGCATCTGGCAGCAAAATAAATTTTCTAATTCCACCATTCATTCTATGTTTATTAGTTTGTATTCTTCTGTAAAGTAGGAAGTAGGTTTTAACTGTAGTCATTTGGTAATTTTGAAATGATTTTTTTTCTTAGAGAGGCAGAATAAATGCTTAATTTATTCACTTCAATTAGCAATGTTCAAAGTTTGGAAAATAGCGGGGCTTTTGTCACTTGAGGCTGCAGTGAGCCATAATGATACCACCGCATTCCAGCCCAAATGAGCTGTGATTGATTGCACCACTCACACCTCAGCCTCTGGAGTAGCTCGGACTACAGACACTTGCCGCCACACCTGGCTATTTTCAATTTTTTTTTTGAGATGGAGTCTGGCTCTATTGCCCAGGCTGGAGTACAGTGGCACGATCTTGGCTCACTGCAACCTCCGTCTCCAAGGTTCAAGCAAATCTCTGCCTCAGCCTCCGGAGTAGCAGGGATTCTGTAGGCACCTGATACCATGCCTGGCTAAATTTTATATCTTTTAGTAGAGACGGGGTTTCACCATCTTGGCCAAGCTGGTCTTGAATTCCTGACCTTGTGATCCACCTGCCTTGGCCTCCCAAAGTGCTGGTATTACAGGTGTATTCTTTTTTTTTTTTTTCCAATTTATTTATTTTATTGCATTTTAGGTTTTGGGGTACATGTGAAGAACATGCAAGATTGTTGCATAGATACATACGTGGCAGTGTGATTTGCTGCTTTCCTCCCCATCACCTACATCTGGCATCTCTCCCCTTGCTATAACTCCCCAACTCCCCACCCCCCACCGTCCCCCCCCCATTTCCCCCCAACTGACCCCAGTGTATAGTGCTCCCCTCCCTGTGTCCATGTGTTCTCACTGTTCAACACCCGCCTATGAGTGA